CTGAAATGCTTTTTAGTGGAAATGAATGTTAACACGTAAAACCACAAGAGTGTTTGTTCAAAGCAAGCAGAGCCTTCCATAGCATAAAACAAAGTGATTTGATGAAGTAGCTTCCTTTTCTATTATTTTTCCCCCAAGATCTATTCTGAACAAGACTTGAGTCACAAACTACTTTTACATAATTAAAAAAATGTTCACACAAATGTCTTCTGTAGGTTTCAAAATACAGAAATTTGTGGACAGGCTGAAAATTCTACTACATGTAAATACTCTAGGAGTAGATGAGACATTTACTGTCAAAAAAAAGAAGATTTATGAAATCACCTCTCATTTCAAGATCATTTAACCAGAATTTTAACAGATGTGCTTCACACTGTGCCCCCATCTGTGAGGAGGGATGATGTAAAAACGCCTTTAAAATAAGTAGGATTATTTCATTAGTCTTTAAATGGCAATTCACTTTCCCCCAAAAAGGCAGAATATGATAGCAGTCCAAGTTCAGAATGGGCTATCTGTTATAGTTATTAACTGAAATAAAGTGAACTCTTCATAGAAAAAGATGGAATTGTATTGTATAAAGCTGTGCTTCTGAAGTATATGCCTAGGACAATTTTGACTCATTTTTTTATGCAGATTCTTTTTCCAAAGTCAAAAAAAAACCCCAAACATAATGCATTAGGAAATTTCAGAAATAAGTTAAAAAGAAAAAAAAAAAAAGCCTTTGGATTGCTTTAAAGACTTAATATTATACAAAATAGTAGAATATACTACTACTGAACTTCTCTTTTGTTACGTGTTCAAACTGATTTCCAGATTATACATTTTGCCAGCAGTACCTCTGTTCTCTTCATAATTACCACGCCTGGCTGATCCAGAGACATTACTCTGCTATTACGCATTTGCGCTGAGGATACAGAATGTTTCTGATTTTCTTGTCTCACCCTAAGCTTCCCTTAATGCCATCTGCTGAAAAATAAGGCTTGTTCTCCTTCTGTTGCATCTGTATTTAATATAAACAGAAGATGCTTTTACTGAGGTTTTCTTAAACTATCAATTATCACAAGCTATCAAGCATAAAACTTAAATTCATTAGTGCTAGGTATAGAGTGTGTTATTTCCTAGGGGACAGTAACATCCCTGATTGGAGCTAAAAAATTCCTGAACATCTGGTATTTGACCAAGTCAGTACTTTCTCTGGATGTCTAGATTATCTTACTTTACTCTGTTTATTTGGCAGTCACTGGATAAGAATTTTGTGGTGGTGTATTAAATTTTAAAAAGTATATATTAAATTTAACTCTTAAGTATTGTAGAGATGTCACCTTCAAAAGTAACATGGTATTAAAAAAAAAAATATCTAGCATATTTTCCAAGTGTTGTTTACACTGGGTAACAAGCTAAAAGTTAAAATCAAGGTGTAAGAACTCTGCAATCAGTAAGTTTAGAGAGCACTTCATGAATTAACAGCACTGTTCTGATTCTTCTTCTGCCCCGTAGTGGAGCCTGCTGCTTCACTATGAGAGAGTTTGGGACCCAGGATGAATACACGTGTGCACAGACAATTCTGGTTCTTCAGGGTTCTTCCCCTCCTTCCTTCACCTTTTGAAAAACCAAGATCTGAGTAAATGAACAAGAAGTCCTGGGATTATTTGTGCTGCAATAGTAAACCAGACTCAGACAGGGTTAGGAGCAAGTCTTAGGACTGGCTTGTTTGCTGCATTAAGGCCTGCTTCCCTTTCTGTTCCCTACACTACTTTATAGCCATGATGGCCATAGTGAATTGCAGTTTTGCCTTAAGGTAGAACAACCAGCATAAGACAGCTTGTCTCTCTCTGACAGTAGTTTGAAAGTACCATTCTGTAGCTTGCACAGTAAACCTCTTGGTTCTCTTTTTCACCAGAATGTTACTCTTCTCATACTGTTTTTTTTTTTTTTTCTCCTTTTTGACTCTGGCATTTTAAACTTTGGGATAGTTCATCTCCAAACCAGTTTGCATTGAAGGCAACTGCCTTCAGTAATCTAGGAAGACAAGTAAGTGACAGAAGAGAATTTAATATGCTTAGGGTAATTTGTAATGCTGGGAAGACTCATATATGGCAAGTTGCTGCACAGAGAAAACCATTCAGGCCTACTGATTCTCCAGAAGTAATCCCCATTTTATAATATTTTTTTTTATATTTAGCTTCCAAGCGCTTTCTTTCTCTTCTTGAAGTCCAGCCATTAGAAATCAGCTCATTTTAGGAAAATTAACCAACTGGTACATAGCAGGAGCTGGGAGGTGTCTGTCTCGGCTGTAGTTAATCAGGAGCAGTTGAAAGATGAGAAGGCAAGAAAAAGCTGGGAGAAATACCCACTGGATTATTAAAAGCCCAGATGCCTCTAGGCATATATTTTAGTGTCAGGGAGTAGTCATGCTTCACAACTTCTAGTGTACCTTATGACCCAAGTTCCGGTATACGTGCAAAAGCAATCTATTTATTGCAATGGGTCAAATACTTGGGGCTAAGACGTCTGTCTCAGGGTTTGAATTACAGTAGCTTATTGTCAGTGTGCTACAAAACAGATCTGATATAATTGAATTCTGAGTAACACTTCGAAATGTTGTAGTTCTTCCCTATATTAAGTATGAAATCATAAAAAATCACATTAGTTTTAGGATGTGTTAATATGTATCTCAGAGATGTCTTAAAATAAAAATGACAAAATACCTGTTAGTAACAAAACAGCAGAACCAGAGTATTTCAGAATGTACTTCCCCCCCCCCTGTAAGTAACACCATTTGTTTTCATTAAGACTTAGAGTGAAATTGTACGTTTGTGCAAAATTTGGGATAAAAAGAATATTTTATCTGAAAAAAATTCTGAAAATGAGCAACTACATCTTTGATTGTATGGCCTGTTTTAAACATTTTTATGCGTGCAGTTTGAAATTCTTAGACCACTGACAGAGATTCATAGGCTTTAAGGATACCGCTGACTGTTTTTTCCGGCTCTCTTTGCTTTCCTTTTCATCCCCTCCTGCAGCTGCTCCTGATCAGCTGAGGACCAGATGAAGTTGCCATGGTCACTTACCAAATCTAGCTGGGAAGCAGATTAATTTTCTAAAAAGATCTCAAGTGAGAGGAGCTATTTTTTTTATGAGGGTGCACTGAGAGAGAAGAACAGAGAGGTTATAAGCTGATCAATGAGATGTAGAGGAATGCAGATCTTCTTGAGACCATGAGTAGGCATAAAGAGCTGTGTCCTCTGTAAGAATGAAGAGGATTAAAAAATAGTTGAAAAGAAAAAGACTTTTATGTTTTCATTTTCTCTCAGTGTTATTGTTTATTCTTTACTCTCTCACTGGAAGAGAGAAAGGTATAGTTGCCTGAGGTAGGTGGTAAGCAAGCCAAGTGAGTTGATGAGAACTAACTTGGGGACAAAAATCTGGAATAGAAAGCCTGTCCTTTGCCAGGGAACTAGCAGCTGGTTTCTTTAGGGAAATGAAGTGACCACTTTCTGAAACCGAATCGACAATGTGAAGACACTAGAAGCACTGAGGACAGCTGGCTTGTCCCTTGGAGTACAAGGGTGTTTAAGGAGCCCAGAGCAAAACATTTGGTTTCATTACTGTTTGTTCTGGAATGTTGCATGCACTAAACCTTAATGCTGAAGCTGTGTTTGGAAATAGTGTGTGTAGGGAAGTGTTTTACCTGCTAAAGCACTGCATAACTGAGTGCTCCATTTTCTCAGATCAGTCAAAAACAGTTCGCTCAAAACCATCCTTTCGTTCACAATTTTACTATGAAAAGTGGATTCTGATGCAAAAAGGCTTTGTTTAGCTTAATCTACAAATTGAATTTTTACAGATAAAATGGCTTTAAAATGGCTGTGTCTCTGAAAGGAAGGCAACCTGGGTGAACTGAGAGGGACTTGTAATGTTTGTTCTTCTACCTATTTTATGTGTTTGTATTTGGAGTATTAGGAGTATTGCTTTATTGGTTAGTTATTTCACTGTAGAAATCTTAACCAGGTAAAATGCAGGCATTGCTCTCTCCTGTGCTGAAATGAATTTATTTTAAAGTAATTTAACAAAATAGTGTAACTACCATTAGGAACTGTGGATAATTTTAATAGACAAACTCTTCATTTTTCAAGCAGAGATGCTTGTCACAATTGAGATGTGTGCCCAAGTACCGAGGCAGACACAGCTCAGAGCTAGTTTTCTCTGAAATTGTGTTTGAAGTATTGTTGAAGAGAAATTTAATCTCACTGTTCTGCCTATACTTAAGAGTCCAACTAGATTGTCTCAGTATCATTAGCAAATCTAGCTTGTTGAGTGAAAGTTTTGTTTTTACTCATAGAATTGTGGATATGTAGTTGAGAATTCCATAAAATTAACAGAGGAAGATCTTTGAGACTTCTCATGAAGTGAAAACACAGTTTTGGTTTGTTTTTTTTTCTTCCAATTTAAATAAGTGTTCTATTAGGTTTTTGAAGCTACAAAAGAAGTAACAAAAGAAAAGAGGCCCATGGAACTGTGAAAAAAAATAATAATAATTGTGATGAAGAGTAAGAAATGGATTAAAAGCTCTTTTCCTTAACTGCAAAATAAAGTTTTACTTACGTGCCAAGTCCAATCTGAGGAAACAGGGCCAAGGAAAATAACTTCTGTTCCAGAAGCAGAGATGGCATAAGTTTTGTTCTGACGTTCATCTAGGAGTAAGGAATTTGTCATCCCTGTGAGCCAATCCTGCATGCTGGAGCTCTGTGCTGGAAGGTTTTTGAGGGCTGTTCTGTGCCTCTTCCACAGCACCTGTTCTGAACCCTATGCAAAGCTAACTTAGGAACATCTCAGACAGAGATGTTATTCTTTATGTCCTGTGTTTATCAATAAAGATGTTGGAAGAAATTAATTAGATATGTTCCAGAGCCAATATACTAATTGAACTGTTATTTTTGTCTTTGTAGTCCATCCTGTGCTATCAGTTTGAGACAAATAATTGTTTTGTTTCATTGTAGGGAAAGGTGAACATGGAAAGCCGTACCCTCTGACAGAGGAAGACCATGATGATTCAGCTTATAGAGAAAATGGCTTCAACATATTTGTTAGCAACAATATAGCACTGGAGCGATCTCTGCCAGACATCCGACATCCTAAGTATGTAAATTGTCCCATGGACTATTTCACTCTAAGGTTTTTCTCTTTGAATATATCTAAATAAGCTACTTTCTTATTAAGAGAACTCAGCCAACGAAGTGCCAGTCTCATTAAATAGGAAATAGTAAATTTTTCACTGTATTTAGATCATTCTAAATTCATTTAGATATTCTCCGTCTTTTAAACCAGCTTCCCATCTTATTATTTACATACTCAGACTATAGAAGACCGCTTCTTGTTACTAAATGATTTAATGACATTCCTGGGTAGTGATTTCTTAGGTAGAGATAAAAATACTTCACATTTAGAAAACTTTATTCAGGTTCTCTCCTGTTAATAGTTGCAGAGCTTTGGTGGCAGACTTAGGAGTTGCATAATCCCTTATTGGTTACATTTTTGGACCAGTGTCCCCCCAAAATTTGTGCAGGTTTTGTCACATATAAAAGCTTGAGATATTGATGGGGCGGGGAGAAGGAGAGAAATACCATTGCATCTTATTCTTCCATGCTCTATTTGTAAAACTGCAGAAGACAATTATTAAATACAAAACAGAGGTGGCATGTTTATGCTCTCTGTATGTGTTTGCAAGCTAATCTTCTGATAATTTGTTTCTCGCTCACTACTATCTGCACAGTCATTGACATTTCTCACGTGTCCCTAGGAGCAAAGTGAGTAATGTGATCACAGAAGTGATGAGGTAGAAGTATGTTGATGCTGAGCCAGTCTTTCACTGTGCCCCCCTCCTCTTCTGAACCTGGTCCTGTCTGTCAGTGGGTTCACTTGAGTGTCTCATTTGGGAAACTTGAATCCTGAAGGCATCATTTTCATGTTACAATTCAGCTAGGTTCCTACCTTCATGAAATCTTGTGTGACAGATGATATTGTAGTGTTCTGAGTGAACTGACTTGTCGTGTCCACATTACTTTCCTTACATCAATCACTTGTAACATAAACTGCCCACTAGTTAACTGACTTCATCATCTTGTAAGGCATATTTCTGTGCATAGCTTGCATACTAAGAAGTATAATAGAGTGACAAAAGTAGGCTCTGTGCTTCTGGTGGTTACTCCTTGAAACAAGCTAGGATTTGGTTTAAAAAACTAAATCAAATAGTTTTCTTGCTGTCTGCAGAGAAACTTCGAAAGAAAAACTTCAAGCCTTCATGAATGCGATAAAAACTGAGTAATGGATCTTGCAATTAAAACCAAAATATATTTAAACAGCTGCAGTAGTTCCTATATTTCTGAAATCACTCTAGCAAAGTTACATTATTACAAATTATTGAACCAAATAAACTTCAAGTCCTACCTCTAAGAAACTAGTATTCTGAAAGTATGCAGAGGTGGAGATAGATAACCTGCTCTTTTTAACCCAAATGAACTTTCTCCTCGTTCTCTTTGGAAACTGGGATCAGGATTTGCAAGATCTTTTGTCTTTTGATAAAGGGATGAGTGGAACCAAGCAAGTAGTTAGATGTTTGAGCTCTGAGAAACTCAGGTTCTCTTTTTTGTTGTGGGTTTTTTAATAGTTCTTGCTTATTTACTTTGAGTGTGACATATTTAGAGTGCTTCAGAAAGATGTACTGAGATGGATGCTCCTTTCCTTTTTTAAAATGAAAATGTGTTTGCTGTAAAAATATTTAGAGGAATGAAACAGTTAAGTTCTATTTTAAGGCTACTTTAACAACTTTCCTGAGTCCTTTATGTGTTTCTGTTGCATTCTTCTATTATCTCCCATATCAATTTTTTCTCTTCTAGCTGCACTTGAACAATATTTCTGCCATTTCTGTCTGCTCTTTCATGTCTTATTTCTGTACCAGTTTCATGGAAGTAGATGCTCACAGTGTTATGTTAACTAATCCTCTGTTGTTTGTCCACCATCACCACCCAGCCTTAAGTAAAAACCAACCTTACTGAGCTGTTTTTGTTTATCTATAGAAGCAGGGCTTGCAAGACAGATCAGTGCAAAGTGTATCTGAATAGGGACAGATTTTATTTGTTTCTCATATATGGTCTTTGGTTTTCCTTTGCAAATTCCATGCAAAAACTGAGTTTGGAAAGGGACCGGTTTTGTTTTCTATATAACAGCAGAAGAGTAGGGAAATCTTAGATGTTTATATTGAAGGAAAAATCATCTCTGGTAAGAAGATTTTTTTGCCTTGGAATGCCTGAATTGTTGCAGGAGATAGTCAATGGATAATGCAAGATAAACATCCTGCTATAACAACTGGAAAAATTATATAGCTTTAAGGCTATTGTTCAGAATGTAGAAAAATGGGATTTAAGTATGTGATTGGTCTTTGTTGTTTTATCATTATTCCAAATGAAAATCTGAAACAGAAATGCCATCTCAGTTCATTGGGATTTCAGGATTTGTTTAGTGACAATAAGACTGCTTGTCACCTAAAGTTGAAGGCAACAGTTGAGTTCTGGGAAACATTTAGAGTTGGCCATGGAATTACTATTTAAAGTTAAAATTCTATACTAGTAGTAAAAATATTTCAAAACCCAACAGAATAGCAGGCTGTTTGTTTTGCTGGCCTATGCCACTCGCTTTGGCCTGGAATACAACAAACTTCCTAAAGACAGCAGATAAAATTGTAATCATTTTCTGGTGGGAAGGAAAACTGCTGTTGAATTGTTTAACAGTTACCATTAATTCTTATCTTCTCAGCATTCTGAAATAATCTGTGTTTACTGGTTTTGTTCAAGTAAAAACAAATCTGGTTCATGTTTGAATAACATTCCAAATGGAATCCTAATGAGGCTTGGGGAATGATTGCAATCACCTAGCCTAAGTAGTGAATATAACTTGTGGTATATACTCTGTTTGAAACTCCTAATTCCTCATAAACCAGAGCATCTAATTTTTTAGCTATTCATTCTTAAATGAAAAGAATTCAAGTTGATTCTGGTTGCCAATAAACTGCAAGCATTATGATTCAAGATTTTCCATGTTGTAGGTGTATTCACATAGGTTTATTCCAACAGCAGTCCTTGAATCTGTGGTTTGTAAAACACTTGTTTATACTTGTGCATGCAGAGATGTACAAATCCGTGTTGGCTTACCTGAATAATCTATTACCAGAAATCTCATCCTTTTTAGGTTTCCAGAGCTATAGATAGATTCATTTTGTACTGATACCCTAAATAATTCATACTAAGGCCTGATTTCTGCAGTGTTTGTTTTCAGCATGCATGGTCTGGAGTCATTGTTTCTAAGTGTTGAGTGGTTCTTGCTGTATGGAGTGGGGGCAGTGGTAGCCTAGCAGGCTTCCTCTCAAAGTCCAAGCAATGTTTGTTGATCTTAGATGTTATATTTCTTACAGGTCTCTGAAAAGATGCTGTCTAAACATACCTTTCTTTGGGAATGAAAATGGAATATCTTCTGTCTCCTTAACAGTAATTAATGAGGTTTTTCTGTTTTCATAATTAAAAAAAAACAAAAAACAAACAACAACAACAACAAAACAAAACAAACAAACAAACAAAAAAACACCACACATTTCTCTATACTTGTTCTGCATAACTGAAGCTCTTCAACTCCTTATCAGCAGTAGAAGCTCAGAGAATGCCTGGATGGTTCTATTTCAAAATATTTGAATGCAGTAAGGTTGCTGTCCCTTCTATTTTTAAATGAAGCTAAAAAAAAAAAAAAAAAGTTGTGTTTAAAAAAACTGTTTTTTTTTGTTTGTGGACTTGTTTGCTTTTGGTGTGTTCTGCTTCATTTGTGGTTTTTGGGGGGTCTTCGGAATAGTTATGGAGTATGGAGTTACTGTTATTCCTTAATTATGTTTTAGTAAATTTTTCATTAACTCTTTAACTCCTGGTGCACTACATGATGCTATAGAATAACATGGTGTTATAGGAATACCTATAACCAAAAATCATAAAAACGTGAGACAACATAGAATTACTAGACTCATATGGGAGGAAAATGCATTTTAAAAATCCAAGGCTGGTGTTATAGTTGTATAATCATTCAGTATTTAATATCTGAATCCTCTAACATGCTAGTTGGTGTTAGGTGGCTTCTGCCCTCCAGATCCAGTTCTTCTGCAGCTCCATTCCCTCCAGATGAGAAGCTGGCTTGTCTGCTTTCCGTTTTTTTTTATGTTTAACGATGGAAAACTCCATGAGAAGTTGTAAAAGTTAACTCAAAGGCACTCAAGTAATCTCTGCAGTAGTCAGTAGATAAATAATTCAGTGCCACCTCATTGTTCAGAGGGCAGATGTCACTGCTATCCAGGGATGCTGAAGAGGCACTCTGGGCTTAACTTAGAACAGCTATTAGCTAGCTGATGCAACTTTTTTTTTCTAACTTGCTTACTCTTATCCTTAGTTTGACTGCAGTCTACAAACCACAAAATCTACTAGCCCACTTCTGGTACTTCAGAAAAGTGTTGGCTCAGACTTCTCTACATAGGGCTGCCTTTCTTTGTATTAATGTTTATTAGTATTACATTAACCTTATCTGTCCTCAGAGCAGCTGATTAAACACAAATTGTGCTTTTAGAGGGGTAGTGATAAAGCTAGAGATTATTACTGACTGCTTTTCCTGGTGCAGTTACTGTGTAATGTAGTGAAGGTAGAAAGTCATGCGTGCCAAAACATGATAGGCAATGTCCCCATTTCCAAGCCTCGCCAGATTGCTCTTTGCAATTGCTTCAGGGCATCTCATTCGAAGTGTGTAGCTCCTCAAAAACAGGATCAGAAATATTTTATACTTGAGAAAACTTGTGGCCTTCTGTCTCTGTCATTCCTACTGTCAGTTTCTCTGCAGTGTATGTATTGGTAGTACCAATGGAATAATTCCTAGGTGCTTTCTGGATGCTTTGTGTGCCTGTTTTTATGACAGTAACAACTAAAATGGGGCTGAAGACTGATGATTCCCTCTACCCTTTTGGTGAGGAGCAGTAGCTGCAGTGTTGAGTAGGTCAGTAAGGATAGCCCAGACTGATGGGTCTGTTTACTAGAAAAAAAAAAAAGTAAACAAAGCAA